TGTGTGTGTGTGTGTGTGTGTGTGTGTTTGGACTGTGCATGTGTCTCTCAGTGCCTCATATTTTCTCCAGAGGGTTACCGGCCACATCTTTAGTGCAGTGAATTACACAAACACACAGCTGTGGGAGTTCTAATCTTTTCATTGGTTCAAGTGTCTGAATGAGAGGCACCATGAGGTGATATCATTACAGTTAATAGAATAAAGGAGAAAGGGAGAGAAAGAAAGGGGACCATATATTGATAAACAGATGGATAGAGGAAGAGGAGTGAGAAAAAACAGAATGAACTGTACACGGTGTACGTAAGCAGCTGTATGAAGAGACCACAGATTAAAGTGAGGAGGTGAACCATTTCATTTAAACAGAAGTTTCCTCACACACTCATAAACTTCTCCCCTAATCAAATCAGGGACAACCCTAAACATTCGATTGAATGAGTCATTTTTATAAAAGCAGCAAATTCAATCTGGATCCGAGGGCGGCAAAACGGGCAAAATTTAATAGAGAGGAGGTGGCGAGCAAAAGGAGGAAGAGGAGGCCGCGCGGGAGAAGAGGCAGAGCAAGGGGAGGATGGACTGAGTTATGAATACTGGACATAGAGGAGATGGAAAGAAGGAGAGTGGGGAGGAAGAGTAGAGATGGGAACAAGAGGATATGAGGGTACAGAAGAAGAGAGGTGAAGAGGAGAAGGAGGAAGCAGCAACATCAGATGGATTGTAGCAGAAGGGAAAACCTTAAAGTAAGGATGAAAACATTTTAGCATAAAACCAGGGGATGGAAGACAAGGAGAATGTTAACAGAGGCTAATATAATGTGAGGAAAAGGCAGAAAACCAGAAAGGAAAAGGAGGAATTGGAACAGGACAGCAGAAACAGTGAGGAAGAGAGGGAGGAGGAGGAGACAGTCACTCAGTCAGTGTTGACAGAAAACAGAAGAAGACGAGGGCGTCTGATTAAAAGATATTGGATATTGGTAACTTTGCACTCAATCTCCTGGCAACTGTGTCGTTGTGCTGCTTCCTGAAATCCAATTTTAAAATGCCTGATTTTGATCTGCGTTGCCACTAGAGGAGCTGCAGTACGCAGGAAACGTCAAAACGCTGCCCTGTGATTGGCTTTTGACAAAAAGTGTCAGTCAAAATTCTAAAGACTAATAATTGCTCATAAAAGATGAATGTACGACTGTTGCCCCGGCTGGTGTTTGGTTGTGTTTTGTTATTTAGAAATCCCCTGAAATTTCTGAATGTTAAGTAGGGCTGCGTGACCGCACAAGTGCCTCTTAAAAATGGTGATTTGGGGAGGAAATCCCATTCTGTGCACGCTGGTTTGGTGTTATTCAACCCCAGAGTGGCTGACAGGAATGCAACCAATGCCTCTCAGAGACTCCCATGGGATTATGGGTAGCCTCCCTAGATATGTCGTGCCATGGCCTTGACAACTGTAGGATGTTCATCACAAACAAGCAAAGCACAAGTTAAAGAACCTCCCTCTAATCAATCAGAGAATATCATTTAGCCTCGGGTCCATGTTGGATGTGTGTGTGTGTGTGTGTGTGTGTGTGTGTGTGTGTGTGTGTGTGTGTGTSTGTGTGTGTGTATTCACATCAGTAACGTCAGTATATGAGGTTTCTTGTAATGAATCAAAGCAGATTGAACTATTGAGCCTAAAGAAATCTTTTTTTGTGGTATTGATGAAGTTACCATCACACAGGGGTGTGTGAGTGTGTCTGTGGGGTGCATGCACACATTTGTCAGTGTATCCATCTGTATGTGTGTGTGTGTGTGTAATGGCCGCATGATTATTCACAGTCATGAAACAATAGAAGAGTTGCTCTCTTATTATGGCATGATTAGATGATCACACACAGACCCTGCTGCCATGCTGTGTGTACGTTGATGTGGCATTTGTGTGTGTGTGTGTGTGTGTGTGTGTGTGGCATGTCTGTGTGGGTGAACATTACTCGTGTGTAGTGTGTTTGTACCCAGTTCATATGACAGTTGGCATTTATTCATCCAACCACAGAGTACATGTGAGCATCTGTAGTACATGTAAGTTGTTTTCGCTGTGTGCGTGTGTGTGTGTGTGTGTGTGTCATACTCACAGTGTCCGCAGCTTGGGCATGTGGTTGAAGCTGGACAGGGGGATGAGGGTGATGTTGTTGTTGTTGAGGGTGCTGAACAGAGAAAAAGAAAGAAAAAGAAAGAAACAGATGTTAGAACAAAAATAAGACAAAAATAAAATCAAATTCTGTCCAAAGCACTGGATCAGTCAGTGTCTCCTTTTCTCTTGTGACTCACAGGAAACAAAAGAGAATAAAGGCCCAGATCTATTTTCTTAGATAAGCCATTAAACCATCTTTAAAAGGACGTTTGTCTGTGGTGGTGTTTTTCTCACCACGGCTCTCGTTAGATAGATCTCAACAAATTAGTTATGTTGCAACACATGTTTATTTTTCAGGCTTTTCTGCAATAATTACCAAGTTCTTATCAAGTTCTGGATGAATTTATCCCTTCAGGTTTCTGAAAGTATTCTAAATAATCCATCTGAGATGAAGAAGCCACTTATTTATTAAACCCTAAACATGAGGTTTGTTTTGAAGGGATGCCAGTCAACAAGGTTTGGAAGACACTGGTGTACTGATGTTTTAGGATGAATTTAAAAGTTTCATGTGTGAAAATAAAATGAGTAAAAAGAAGCAGAAATATTTCCAATGCAGAAAATTAACCAATTGACGGTCAGTGTTGAGGTTGATTCTGTGGTTGTAATGAATTTATCTTAACTTACAGAATAATCTAATTGGATATGTGGTGTAGTTAGGAGGACACAGGGAACAATATGTGTTTCAGTTTATTAGGAACAGATGTGATTGTCTTTAACAATTGTATAACTCTGGGTAGATGATTTGACCTGAATATAAATTAAAAAAAAAAAAAAAAAAAAACTGCTGGCACCATTTCAAACATCATCAAAACTGTAACACACTGCATTTGCAAATTCTGACCTTCTGTCCAGGGGGCCACTAATGTGCCAAGTCATCACACAGAGTGTTAACTCGTTATATATGAATACACACACACACACACACACACACACAAAAGAACCCTTGATCTGTGCTTCTTCCATTTCTAACTCATAAGCAGGTCACTGCTGTCTTTGACTATTAGTTCTCTCATAAACTACACTCTGTCTCATATGTAGTATCGACCTGAAGTGGAATGAAAAACAAGGTTGACTGTCGTTATAAGCAAATACACACACACACAGACACACACACACAGACACACACACACTCACACACACACACAGACACACACACACTCACACACACACTCACTCACACACACACACAGGCACTCAGTGTTTTGAGGAAACATAAAACCTATTGATTCTCAGTGATTTTCATGCACAGAAATGGAGACAGAAATGAGAGAACAGGGAAAAGAGCAAAGGGAAAATACGACGACTATTCCATCAAAGCAATCGGTGGGGGGACGGTTCTGCAGTGACAGACTGGTACAAGCTGCTTAAAGTGCATATACAAAACAAAACATACCAGAACACAAGCAGCTCCCTCGTGACTTACGTATAAGCACTGCACAGTCGCTCATACATTTACAATTCAGCAAAACATTAAACGGGACAAAGACATGCGACTCAGATTACAGAATATGTTCATAATGAATGTGTAAGTTATTATCTTTGGATGTAAGAAGGCTCAGTGTTTCATGATTTAATGAGTTTAATCATAAAGTCCAGGATGTTACAGAGAAAAGAAGCAGTTTGGTTTGAACCACCAACCTCAATTTTCCTGATTCAAGAAGACACTGATGATCATAATTTAAAGTCAACAAAATTTACAAATCAGATCAAATAAAAGCAATAAAAAGATAAACTCAGAGCTCAAATGATTTTTGATCTCATTTCAGCTGAATCGTTTTTATTGAAAACAAACTGATATATTTGATTTGGGCAGAAATATAATGTTCAGCAAAAATAATATCCACTAAGTGCAACTTGTGAGTTTGGTCAAATTTGAATTGTTACAAGAAAATTCAAGAATTTGACTCAGTGTACTTACACAGATAACAACGACAGACTACAATGAGAGATCCATGCTAAATGAAACAACCAGGAACTGAAATCATACTAGAGGTTTTATTTTTCTGGTGGCTTGTGGGAGCCTGTGCAACCCTTTCACTTTGTTTTTGCCCAATTTCCATGGATCATTCATTTCGCTGGATTGAAAATGAGGCGGGTTCACTCAACATATCACCAGAAACCTTGTTTATTCAAAGAGTCATTGTTTGTGGACGAATAAAAGACTGTTGAGTCATTTTTTAATCTGTGAAACATTTATTTTTCACTTGTGATGTTTTTTTAACTTTCACAAGGTTAGCTTTCTCTGAAAAATCGCCAAAATTCAAGATTAAAGCATTTAAAAACATTTGCCATATGTTTGTGCCTAAATACACAGTTTGACCACTGTTTAGATTTTGCCGACACAAATCAGTGTGGTTTGTTTCACATGTTGTGTTCAAAACAGGCTCATTACCAGAGGTTTGCTGTCTCTTCACTAACACCCACTCGGACTTAAAATAGACTGTTTCTGCTTCACTCTGTTGATGTTACCTCTTTTCTTTCTCTTTCCGATTCTCTTCCTCCATTCTCCTCCCTGCCAGTATAGCCTCAATGGCCTTGGTCGCCGGATTAAGTTTCACACTCGCCCTCAGATCCACACAGACACACACACGCACACACATCAGGAGTGCTGCTATGGTCAGCCCTGTCAGGGGTGATTCCACCCAGTATATATAATTTAATTGTGGAATAACAATAATTTCCCTCTACAATTTCCCTGTCAGATTTTCTCCCACTCACTCCGTTCAACCCAAGCTCCTCATCTCTCTGCCTTAATAAAGCAGCAACTGAACCGACTTAAGCCAAGTCAAACACTACAAACATAATTTTGAAGTCCACAACTATGTTTTATATCATGGACATTTTTCCCCTCGGCTTGTTTTACACTGCTCTGGCCGTGGCTGTGCTCCTAAAAAGCCTACATAGATTTAAAGTGATCGTAGAAAAATATTTGCAATTTGGCAAAGAACCGAAAATACTGCAAGAGGATCCCTGTTTAATATCGGAAAGAGGGACGCTTAAGTCCTGCAGCGGCCGTGGGTTTGGTTCTGGTCCGGCACTTTGCTGCGTGTCTTCCCTGCTCTGCTTCCCCATTTTGTTCTTATCAATAAAAGTGAAATGACGAAATAATATCTTCAATGAATACAACAAATATTGAAAAGATACAAAGGATCCAAATATTAAAAAATAAAATAGTCTTTTAAAATTTGGTAAAATACCAAAAGTCTTCATTTTGTAGTATTATACTAAAATGTAATGAACTAAAACCTTTTATCCAACACTTACAAAGAGTGGAGACATATTTAAAGGTAAACTGAACTGTTTTCTAAGACTTTTTAGTGTTTTATTAAGTTGTTTTGAATCACTTTTAGCTTTTTATTTTATTTTACACTTATTCTTCTATTCATGTTTTATTGAAAGTACCACAAATAAATATATTTTGTATTATTTGTCCTCCAAAAAATGATATATGTGCTTGGACAAGTACTTGGCTTCGAGCGATATAAGGAATTCAGGGAAACAGCCGGATGACTGTACACCTGTGAATTTCATACATTTGATTTGATTGTGGTTTTATACTTTTGAATTTGGTTCAGATGAGGACTTTCCACTGGTTCCACCTCCTGTCAGTCTGAACTTCATAATCCTGCAGCCTTGACACATCCCAACGCACACATCCTGTCTTGTGACCACTAAATCACAGAGTGCAAACCAGAGCATTGGCTCGGTATTCATGCTCCCATTTACAAACGTTTCACAGCTAATGTGATACGGTTAAGAAAATACTTACATTAGTGTTGCAGCTGTTTCCTCAGGGACATTTTGCTTTCAGTGAGAAAGGTCTGTTCTTTTCTCTGACTTTTTAATGTTGTCTTCTTTTAATGGTTGACTGAGATCTGATGCAATAGTTAATGCTGCTTGATATCCTGACAGGGAGTCACAGAGTCAATGATGACACTTCAGGTGATTTAAATATGTTGAATAAACTGAAACACTGGTGATATTTAGATTCTTCTCTCCCAAGTATCTGGGATTTCTAATTCTTCTTACAACTATATCCATAAAAATTCTTTTTTAGAACACTTTTGAAAAGTATTCATCTTAGTATCAACACAGTTTCTTATTTTAACACAGATTAATGACATTAATAATTCCAGTATTATGTTGACATTTTACGGGGAGCTCACTGCCCTGCAGATTGATTATTAGAGAAAGCACATTTTGTTTTTACATCAGGGAGCTCGGGGAGTGGTCTAACAGTGTTTACAGCACCCAGTGTTTCTGTTGCAAAACGCCTATTCAGCTCTATTTTGTCTTTTTAATTTCATAAAGGCTGCACTGACCACTGCAGTGGTACGGCAGGGTAGCAGAATCACCAAATGTGCATGTGTGTGTGTGTGTTAGTGTATATATTTGTCAGTGCCACTATTGTGTAGTGTGTATTCTTGAGTCAGCATGTGCACTGCATGCTTGCATGTATCCGCATGCAATGCAGTAGTCTGTTGCAGTAAAAGCGCCTCTGCAGTCAGTGATGGAGGAGACTCTTTAGAGGCAACCCACCGGGGAGATGCTATCGTTTGTGTGTGTGCGTGTGTGTGCGTGTGTGTGTGTGTGTGTGTGTGTGTGTGTGTGTGGTCTGTGTGAGACAGAGAGAAAGAGAGTGATGTTATCATATGTGTCTTTGCTGCAACCTACACACTGAGGTCAAAGCCTTACTCGTCAATCTTAGCTTCCACACTCACACACCTGCACGCACGTACACACACACACAGACACACACACACTCGAAACATCAAAGCTTTATCCAAACCTTGTCAGCAATCAATCCAAATTTAACCTAACCTAAATTCACACACAGCCCTAAACTTAACCAGAACCTCAGAGATGAAATGTTTCCCTATAAGGACCACACTTTGTTACCAATGAGGACAAAATGTTGAAAGCAGTAACAAAAACACACACACAAGATAACAGTAAGTGACTATTTGCACGCTATTTCCACACATCTGCTCTACTGTTCAGACCCTGGCTATT